CCCCAAAACCCCAAAACCCCAAAACCCCAAAACCCCAAAACCCCAATTTGGTAGTTTTAAATAGAAGTTTGATTCTTATTTAAACTGTTTAAGGTAGTCAATGTAAGTCATGTTTTTCAAGTTCTTGCTAAACATCTTCTTCCCACTCGCTTTAAAGCCTATGGTACATATTAGAAGAGAAAATAGAAAATTCAGCTTACTACTAAGACTGTTGTTCAAATTTGAGCCCATTTTTGAGTAATCTCTCTGCACTCTATTGTCAAAACTTCTTTCCTGGATATAGTTGTGTTCTGCTCCGTTCGGGTTCGTTCTCATGATCTTAGACTTTTTATGCAAACCTAGTGATTTGGCATCTCAATTCCTACTCAAGTGGTCTTTACGCGTTCTTTCCATCACTGGAAGCTGATAACAACGCCTCTTCTCATCAGTATGGTGTAAATCTCTCGTTGAAAAATGTTCTATAATTGGATCCAATACCAACCTTTGAGCTTATCTTGTGAAAAATTGCCTCTCTCAGGTGATCTTGCTAAATTATTTGCTTGCATATTATTGATCGACCCGCATCTGTCATTTGTCGCTAAACCTAGAAAAATATCCCAAAGGGCTTACTTTTACAGATATTATGGTCTCTCTGCTCTCTTCCATAAGCCAACATATCATCCTTAATCTAGAGAAATTGCGAGGAATATTACACTTAAACTGGGATGGTTCCGTTTAGATTCACTAGCGTTAGAATATACGTCATTTCCTTGTACAAATGACCCTTTGTTCAGACTTTTGTTTAGCAAATATTCTGAGCTAAGATCTGCAGGTTATTTAGAAATTTACTGCTTCGGTTGAGAATGTTAGGAAGCCTCTCCCCTGCTCCTTTGTTTGACTTGTAGTTTAAGTCTTTGAGGTTAGACAAGCTTATTACTAGTAATCTTGTTTTTAGAGTAAGAGTTTAGATCTGATATGATTATGTTAGAGCTGTCCTCAGGTGAGTATGTCCCGCCGTGAGTATAGTCTTGTGCAAACCCATGATATCTATATTTTAGTGAGTTGTCCTTTACTTTCCAGGTGATTTACCAAGAACAGTCTTAATAGAATTTCTATCAACAAATAATTTTCTTCCTCTATTGAATTTAGAAGGAGATGATCCTTTGATATCATTATTTTTCAAACATCCTTGTCCACTAACGAATTCATCTTTCTGTACACGAAAATGAGACTTGTTCTGGTCGGTTGCCTTTAGTCTCTTCATCAACTTTTGAAAATTATTACTTCCCCCATTCTTCTCAGAACTCTCATACTGCCCCATTGTCTTAAAACAAGCCATTTTCTCACTCTCTTGTTCAGGATGAAAATTGAAATTATTTTCAATCATTCGTCCACCAAGGAAAATTTTCTTCTTCCCCTGAATTCCTTCTATCTCCCTTCCCTGGAGGAAGCCTCCTTTACTATTCTCAGGAGTTTGGGAGACTAAAAATGAATCCTAGCTTACAACAATGAACATTTCTCCCACTGCGTTTGGCTTCCTTTGAGTACGAATTAAGTCTATTATAAAACTCATCATTCTTCGTATAAACTGATTTGCCTTTACTCGAGTTGATAAATTCTAGAGACTCAGAGAACTTGGATACCTTCGTAGCTATCAACATTCTTGCCAATAGACATCTTACCGGTTATAGGATTCACGATAAGGTCATTCTCTGTTGGAACAAAATCAGACATTAAATAAAATTTTATTTAAGGTGTTGTTAAATTTAGCACAGATTTAGTCACAGCACCAATGTGGGGTTTTGGGGTTTTGGGGTTTTGGGGTTTTGGGGTTTTGGGG